TAAAAAGCCTCTTGGGCCCAGCCATTTTCATAATCGATCGTAATATTCCAAAGATTTGCACTATTCTGAACCATTAGTATCAACTGTTTAAACGGTTCAGAGCATGGGATGTAAAGAGCTGTAACGCTGAGAAAAGACGTGAGGCGAAATGTTTACGCTCCTTTAATCTGCCGGTTTGGAACCGGTCTCTGGTGCGCCGTTGGGGAGACGTGCAATCCGCTTCCTACACAGGGCACGATCAGCCACGTGCAACGTGTCCTGTGTGGTGAGCCGAGATCGTCTTCACTTGGACACAGTTCGCTTCACGTCTGGACTAAAATTACACGAGTGTGATGAAAAATTTAAGAATATGAACTTACAATGCTTAAGTTTCGCAAGCATCAGCCATTCAGTGTTGGCTCATATCTCTGACGAGAATAGTATCAGGACGAACTAATTTTGTCAAATAAGTTGGGCGTTGACTCTGAAGTGGCCGAGCCGGGCCCGAGCACGACATGATACCACGCGACACGACACGACACGGCGCAGCGACGGAGCTCGGCTGGTCCCTCTTTTGACGGCTGATATCTGTACGACAGCGCTGAAGACACGCGCATAACTGACGGATATAAAGCTGTCTAAATTGAGCTTTTCAGGCATTTTCGTCTCAGTCTTAGCTAGTTCCTAAAAACATGTGTGATATCAAAGACAATCACATTACGTAACTTGCACAGAAATTCGAATCACACGATGAAGACTCCAAATTCGTTCTCTTGACACCGCGTTTGTTTCGTATATAATCGACTTAGCACAGCTCTGAACAACAGTCCAAAAACAAACCCAAAGAAGCGGCATATTTCGACAACACCGCACCGTCCCTTTTGCGACCGACCCGCTCCACTCTCTCTCGTCAACCTCGCTTCGCCTCTCTCCCGCCTCCCTCCCCCCACTGCGGGCCCGGCCGCAATGGTGGCCGGTGCCACTCACGTGCTGGGTTGGGCAGGTGGCGGACGCGGAGGGAAATGGCCGAGCCGGCGACCGGAAGGCGGTACTGCAGCAGGGCGGCGTTCTGCGCGCTGCGCACCGGCTGAAGGGTGGTCGTGGTACCGCAGTGCTCCAGGTACCGCTCGCGCACCGGCAGCGGGTGGTCCGCTGGGCCCGGGAAGAGCTGGCCGTTCATCTCCCAGCCGTCCACCAGCTGGGCGAGGCGCGCGGTCAGCAGGGCGCGATCCGAGCGCATCACGGGTACAGGGACGCAGCACGAGCTCAGCGAGGAACGATGTCAGCGGTGCAGAGCGTGAGGTCAGCGGGGAACGGTGTCAGCGATGCACAGCACGAGCTCAGCGGGGAACGGCGTCAGCGGTGCAGAGAGTGAGGTCAGCGGACACAGCACGGGGTCAGCAGGGGACGGGCGAGGTCAGCAGGAATGACATATGAGGTCGGCGAGGAAACATGAAGAGCAGCTTGAAGCAAGCGGGAGAACGGTGTTGAGGGGTGCAACACGAGGTCAACAGGAGCGCGGCACAGGATCCGGGTACAATATGACGGCGGGCACTTACGTAACATAATGAAATGGCAACAAATTTCCACCAAAGCTTGTTAAACGCGTCCGTACCGATCGACACGGCCGCGCCATAATGAGTGGCGGAGTGTCAGCTTCAGGGACTACGGCGCATCCAGATGGGGCTCAAATACGGTCGGTACGGCATTCCTCCACGGAAGGGCTTTGGCGCGAGTGCCCCAGCACAACCCACGCGATCAGCGTCCACTTACCGCAATGAGGCCGCCCGTATGGCAGGGCACGTTGACATATTCTAGCTCGATTTCGATAAACGTATTGACAGCCGAAAATAGGTAGAGACCGCACGTCTCTTCCCGGCCTGGGGACTTGATGTAGAACACTCCATCGACTGACGTTGTGTTTTATGCACTCTGGAAACATGGAGTGTTAGGCGCCATGTACCTCAGTACACACACCATTGAGCATACGCTTGAAACGCCATCGCCGTGGGGCATTAGGCCCAAGAACCCCGCTCGGCGTACAGACTTTGTATTCAAGCACACTTTGGCCGCGCAGATCGTGTTAGGTGGCGTATCCTATGATGAACCGTAATCAAAGAAGCCCCATGCTTAATTACGCACCTTACGCTCCATGCACAATTATCCTTCTATGCCCCAGAGCAACGCCTTTGCATTCGGCGCAGCCTGCAAAGGCGCTACGTATCTACTCACATCGTACCTTTTGATGTTTTCAAACCGAACCGATCACATTGCGCTGTCGTGATCACACAGCTTCGACGCGACGGAAGTTTGCCTATCGTGTGTATACAGCTGTCATTTGCCCGGACCCATGCCTGTCACGCGCCGATCGGCCGTCCGGCTGTCCAGCAGGCCCTTACCCGGTCTTGTGCTATATTGCTTACCATGAATGACGTGAAACGGCTTCAGCGGCGACAGGATGGAATCGTCGTCCTCCAGAACCACCTTCTCTTCCTGATTTGTCTACAATGAAACACAAGTCATTTCAACAGTAGGTCCGTCGCAGAGAGCGTAAGGTCAATACATACCGTGACATGTACAAACATCGAGGTCAGATTTAGAATAGAGTGGTGGATTCTGCAGCTGTGAGGCAGCCATGTTTCCAAATGCTAGTTTCACGGTGCAGTAATTTTACTTGCAAGCGGAACAGTGAAAATACAAAAGTGCTGTTTACAATTGCACGTAAATTTCGTAGCCTTATACATCTCATTCGAACCAGAACGAGTACGTGAGAGTGTATGCTAAAGCAACTGTTTATTTCATATCACTTTCATTTGATTTTAAGTGATCCGATTTTTTTGCAGTTATATGAAATGATCAATGCCATAGCTTGTATTCTATTAACGCCGCATGTCACGCGAGCCATCTAATCAGGCAGTGCACATCACGCAACACTCGCAATGACTCTGTCGTAATGAACAAATTATTGGTGCTTGCCTTGGTGGACAAATAGTTAAAGGTGTATGCCACGGTGGTCGGAACGAGGAGCCAACAAATCACCCACTGCAAACTGTTCGGGACATTTTGAAACACTGACTCGCCCAATTGAAAAATTGTATTAAAAAATGATTGGATTCAGTCGATGACTGTCTTCAGTGCCGATCAATTGGTGTGTAACGAGGCCGCTGAGTTGTACGTTTTGAACAGACGAGGTCTGCAGCATTCGCGAACAGACAGGGCCGGGGGCGTCATCTGTTAGCATTAACCGGGCGAATTGGGTCCAGGTGCAGTATCACGGAGAGCAAGCGATGCCAACTTGCTACCTCTATGTGTATGCCACACCCCACATCTCTCTACATCTTTTCCCTCTCCTCTTCTTATATCTCTCCCTCTCTCTCCCTTCTCTGTCTGTCTGTCTGTCTGTCTGTCTGTCTGTCTGTCTGTCTGTCTGTCTGTCTGTCTGTCTGTCTGTCTGTCTGTCTGTCTGTCTGTCTGTCTCTTCTGTCTGTCTGTCTGTCTGTCTGTCTCTCTCTCTCTCTCTCTCTCTCCCTCTCTCTCTCTCTCTCTCTCTCTCTCTCTCTCCTCTCTCTCTTCTCTCTCTCTCTCTCTTCTCTAACACACACACACACACACACACACACACACACACACACACACACACACACACACACACACACACACACACACCACACCACACACACACACACACACCACACACACACACACACACACACACACACACACACACACCACACACACCACACACAACACACACACACACACACACACCTCCCTCTATCTCTCACTCAATCTCTGCCTCCCTCTTTCTTCCTCTTACTTCGTTGTTTCTATCCGCTCTTTCTCAGCTCGCCTCCCAACAACCCTGACGACTCAGGAAGTACCAAGGGGGCTGGGACAGACGGACTGCTGTAGAGGGCCGCATGGAGAGACGCCCGCCGCCCCGATGGCGCCATCCCCAGCGGAGGCCAACGTCACCGCCGCTGGACGCGGGGCCCCGGGCGGAACGGCCGCCTCAAAGGCAGGTAGGGGCCGCCATGACCGGCTCTAGGGCCCTACTGCAAGGGAGTGGGGAGGGATGCTGCCGTAAGAGATCGGCAGCACACCAACGAGATGGGGAGAGGGTAAGGGCGTAGTCTGCATTAGCACCTGAAAATTTAGGCGCCCTTCCTTCCCATCTTTCGCTCTTTCCTTGGACTGTCCCACCTTTGGGCCATATTTCAAAACGTAACCTAGTGAAACCTCAGGACTAGTTGCGTCTAATAATAACACTGGGTGGTGCCAATGCAAGCACCGTGAAGCCATAATTATAAAAATCAAGTTTGATTTTCAGTCCAGATTACGCCATCAACGCTTTACATCAACACTGCAACATCCTCCCGTACGTGCGACCACTGTCGTCATAAACAACCACCTTGTGCACCTCTACTGGTGCGGTTAAAAGAACGTTAACGGACGTGGTTGGCTCGGCTAGAAGGGCCTGTTTACTGAGAAGTTGGTTGGTTGACGGACATTTGAAGTTTGAACCAGTGCGTCACATGGATTATGTGATATTCTCATTCCAAAGCCAACGTGCGCCCCGAAAAGAGTCACTTTGGTTAATGCCATAGGGGAGAAATCAAAGCTATAGTGCCACGTTTCGTCGAATCCGCGGGATAACAGCCTCCGCGAATTTTACACGAATACATATCCCAGAATCTGTGCCTGTATATAATCTGGAGTAGCCTACTCGTCTTGGGTGCAGACATGTCTGCCGCACGAAATACATGCTTAGTGGTTCAAGGGTCTCGCGTTCAGAATAAGCGTCAGGACCCGTGCCGCGAGCCAGTTGGGCAGCTCCAGCGTTGGTGTCCGTAACATTGAGGCGACCCGAAAAGCTCTTCAAAGCTAACCATTCGCTGATGCGAGCCCTACTTGGTTTGTTTTAGCACCGACGACGTGGCGAAAAAAGCGTCAAGAAATTATGCTTTCTGGAACTGGAAGACGGCGCATTGGGATTTCAAGGCAGTTAAGCCCACACGGGGTACGATATGCGTAGAACTTGCGGCATTTTCTTATTGCCTGTCATGTGCATTACTTCCGCAGATGCTCTATACGCTTTAATGCTTTTTCAAAGTCACCTTTAACATCGATTCTATGGAAGCTTGATTCCAGCCGAAAGCGCACATGGCCCAAGCTATGCACAGTTCCTTCTTACGTACGAACGCAAGGTTCCCAGGTGCTAATGTATACCGGTGGTGGCCAGCTAAGCGTGACTCGCTCACTCGTCTGCCTTTCCCCACTACGTAGCCAACGCTGGGGCAAACTATGTCTGTCACGGCCTGAAAAATGACATCTCTTTTGAAATGTTGATTTCCTTATCCCTCTGAAAAAATGTTTGCTCTAATTTGCATGTCTCTAGAAAGTGGCTTTGAGTTTAAGCTAAGTATGACCCGGCTCTTCCGTTGTGCGTCTTTGGGGCTAGATAAATCTAATCTCCACGTCTTTGAAAGACTGCTCTCCACGTCCAAGAACGCGTCAGTCACTTGAATGAAGGTTAAATGTCATTTTGGTGTAGGGACTATATTCTCAAAAGAGCACATTCGCGCGCTGCCTACCCACGCACTATCAACCACGCACCGCCTGTGTGTGTGTAAGTGTTACAAGGGCGGGGCACGGTATCAATCAAGATTGCTGCAGATGGTAAAAACGAATTCCTTTATTTTGACAAGGTGCTACATGTCGTTTATGCTAGTAGGTAAAACGGGTTTTTGTTCGTAACTTACGATTCATTGGTCGATGGGAGCACGTGGCAGAGGACGATTTTTGGCCTCTCCTTACAACCAATCAGTTTTTTGGGCTTCAAGTTTGCCTTTTCTGTTTGCTCTTTAGGGTGAGCATGCCAAGCATGGCCCTTGGACTTGCCACCGGGCTTGCCACCGAGTAGGGACCGTTTTGAATTTTCGGTCGTGAATGTTTTTCACCGATAATGTTTCCGTAAGTGAATAGCAGCAATAATATCAAACGCCAACATTTCACAATCCGGTAAGCATTCACGTCCGCTCCATTTACTTTCCACTTCCGTTAGCGTGTGGGCGTGCCTCTCCTTTAAGGCTGAGTCAAGCCCCTCCATCATAAACCTAGTCACTTTGTTGGAAATCCGAAGCGAGGAGTGGGGGATTGTCGCATTGGTGGAGATCACGATAGTGGTAGGTGTCCAAACCCCGCCTAATATGATGCTCGGCTGATGCTATCCGTCAGTATCTCTGTTCAAAACATATCTGTCTGTCACAACCCATATGTGTTTGGGTGAGAGTTCTGCAATATTGTGTTGTTCGTTGCGTTCCTTCTGTCTTTCAAGTCATTTCTCTCTCCGCTCCCAGCCTAAGCTTAAGTGGGCCAAGGGAGGGGCTTCCAGCAGCTGTTTCTGCCATAGGGCACAGTCGCGTAGCCTCGCAAGGCCAGTAAGGTCCATAATGTTGCGGTGAGAACACTGCAAGACCACTTGTGAGCTGAGTTGAGAGACAACCCAGGAGATCGCCCATCTTGTTCTACAAAGGGCTAACCGCGAAAGGAATCTCGGTCTATGGTGTCTCAGCACAGAGAAAACGAAGGTGAAAGAACTCTGCTTACCCGGCGCGTTCAATTAGGCCATGCACTGAACTATGCCTCTAGCTCTTGCTCGTGATTCCTGAAGTTCTAGAGAACTCTACAAGTCTTTCGCGTCGGGGTGCACGAGTTAGCACAAGCTCAAGTTGAATGGCTTTAAAGCTATGCGGTTTACTAATTGTATTAGTTGCAAGGAAAACATCATTCCATGGCAAAACAAACGATTTCAAAAGGGCTATCAAGCTTAAATCGAGCTTTGAATATGACTTATAAGTGGTTCTGGCCATGCTGAAAAAGTCAACGGGGAATCGAAGTCCATTAAGAAAAGTGTTTCAGTCTTTGCTGCTTGATTGCTATGAAACTTGAGTATCACAGAGGAAAGATGAAAGGCGGTGCCTCATTACGAGCTCTGAACGTGCTCTCAAAACTACATTCAACCTGAACTCTATGCCTGACGCTCAATCGTTGACGTCAAATAGAAGTGTAGCCATTGAAGATTCACTGAACGTATGAGTCCAAAGGCACCTAATTTTATTCAAGTATGCTACACACTGCCTGGTAAATAGTTATACATTGCTTAAATGAAGGAAGTCACTAGCACTAGGGCGTTCACTTCCCTAAAATCAGTTGGGAAGGCGGGGGGGGGGGGGGCCTGGCAGAAAGGTTGACTCACCCACCTGCCAAAGCTGATTCTTTCCAGGAACTCGGCCACTTGAAATTGCTTCCTCGATGTGAAACATGCAGAGCCTTAATGTTTTGACAGATTACAAATTGTTTTGCTGCGGAGAAATAGCTTCCCATTTCAAGTTGATGAGAGCTGCCTGTTTGTGAAAAGCTTACAATGGGGTAAAATTCATGGAAAAACGTCTTAGTAAACCATAGTAAGGGATCACTGGTGATTACCGCTGTCGCTGAGCGTATTCTTGACTACCACAACAACAATTATGTGACAAACACACTTGCCACTGTTGGGAAAAAACATCCTTTAACTTATATCAGAGCCACTCTGCTTTTGAAAGCTGCCACATATTACACATGGTTGTTTCTTATCCTTATCCGGGCGCTATCATTTTAAACAAAACTTGAACAAAATTTGCAGACTGACTTAACATACAAAGGAGTAAGCGGGACAATAACATTGAGCACATACAGGATTCATACCTAGAATGCCAACAGTTGAGGTAATTGTTTTGTATTTATTTGGCCAGTATTCCCTCTTCTCTCCGAGAGCTCAGAAAAAGCTTAGAAGAGCATTGGGTGGCAGTCTCAAGGCAGCATTGGTAGGCTCATGCCCTCCTGAAAGCACATAAAGTGATGCCCCCGACTAGCACCATTCATAGGCTATTGTAATCACTCACTTTTAGGGGCGCATGAATAGGAATGCATGTAGGACCTCGCAATGTGGGGGGGGGCAATTATATATTTGACAACAAAAAGCTCAGCACTCTCACTGTTTTTCTCCCGTTTTTTGCCTGGCGCATGACATCACATATAATTAATCAGTTTTAATTTTACATAATTTATATATATATATATATATATATATATATATTGTATAGTTGTTTGATTTTTGCCAATCAAATTATTATTTCATTACAAAATTTTGCCACATAATTTGTCATGTATGCACCTTATCTTTACAACTGTCAACATTCAAACACACGCACATTGGACCAGTATAAATTTTGATAAAGGGAGGGATGGACACTCGGTCTTGTCTCCTCTTCCCATTGAATGCACTGCTGCAAGTAACTTATTTTTGGAACCGAAAGGAGATGAGCACTGATTTGAACCCTCAACAGTCCAAGACATGTGTCATGTGTTTTGTTTAGAGTGGATACTGGTACGGATACGGACACCATCCGACCGAGTGGGGAGGCAAAATATAGAACTCAAAACAACGAACAGACTTGCTTTCTTTTCAACACAATTCACGGGACTGGTTTGAAATGGCTGCAGACTCTGAAAAACATTTCTAGATGGAAATATGGGTTAGCTCTTCTATTTTCATTTCGGATCAATAATCCTGAAAAGAATGGCAGTTACCGCTGCTATTGTTGATTGAAAGGCAGATTTTATATCTGGATTTCTATTTTCCTCCTGAGAACAGTTGAATTCCTCCAGGTCAGCGAACTGCAAAGCTGCCATTCATGGTTCAGTATCGTCTTGCTGGCACGGCGCAGTCAACCGACACGATTGAATCAGGTCGTCAGAGGAGTCAGATGGCGCGGGTGACTTCACAGTAAAGTTCAGCGCCGGCTGCACCGAGGGTATTTCGGAGAGACAAATCATGGCTCTGTAGAGAAACGTTTAAAACTGCAGTGTGCGCCGGCATGTGTAATCCCAAGACATCATGTGAAACATGCTAGCAGCTGTATGTCGGAAATGATTAGGCCGCCTACCCGTTCACGGTTTTCGACCCAAAGCAGCTGATTGAGCGACCAAGGCCTGTAAGTTTACGTTCATCATGCCTATTTGAAGCGTTTTATTCCGTCACCGCATTGTCACCCTGTCCACGGCCTGGAATTTTCACAGGTCTTTCGATATTGAGCATCCAGCATGTTCTATACAGGCAAACATGCCACATTCAGCAAAAGCAGGCACCCGCTCTGTCTCCAAATTTGTGTCTCACTGCTTCACTTCTACACCATTTAACTCACAAGACCGGACACAAAACACTACACCCATCAACCCGCTGCCGTGTCACGTATTATGTCTGTAGTGTGCGGCTGAACTACCCATCTAACCGAGAAGACCACTGGCGCTGTGACGTAGCCTACAAAGAACAACACTTCTGCGTCCTCCTACACACTGAGCTGCTATGCATTCTGCGGACAGTGCAGAGCCGGTGGCGGGAGGGCCGGTCGCGGTGCTTACCACGTGCGGCACCAGCGCCGACAGGGCGGACGAGCAGCAGATTGTCAGCAGGGTGACCAGCTGCGGCGTGGACCGCATGCCTGGAAATGTGACGCAGACTCAGAATGTGGCAACAGGCTCGGCTGCGGTCAGACTATCGCCGGAAGCAAGGGGTCTTAGCAAACCGGGCCGACGTTTCCGAGAGTCACGCTGGGTATCCGCTGTGAAAATATCTCTCAGGGGTCTAACAGGGGTGGTGACTTTACGTCAGTGCACAGCGAGGACGAATGTGTCTAAAGCAAGTAGTAAGATTGTGCAGCATCTGTGCCAGGCGGGTTTGACTCGTCTGTGTAGGCTACACCTTCGTTATTTTGTCCAGTTTTGTGACAGTGTAACGCAAATAAGGGTACGATCCCTTGTCAATTTCACACACTATAAGCCCCAGCAAAAGTTTGCAAGGAGCGACAACCATGTACTAGGCTTCATCTTTTACTTAGACAATCTTTAGAGTACAGATGACCTGTTAGGTTTGGTCAAGCCAGGTGAGAATAGTCCTTTCTCATCTTTCCGTATCAGCATCAATGTGATACAAGAGTGCTCACACTTAACACCGTGGTGCACGGTGATGAGAGCTATGCATTAAGACGGGTCAAGTGCTGATAATTAGCGCGGATTCGAAGATTTGACCTGACGTGTCTTTAACCACAGCTGCAACTTTGGCGGGTGCTTTACCGCTGCTGCTCAACCAACTGAACATCAGAATCAAATGGCAATTCACCTCGGAGGTCGCTGAGCGGCAGCACCGAGCTGGGGCACAAAACTGACTTCTGTAAATGGCCTAATTCCACGCCGCACCTGAAAGCAGCCCGTCAGCGGTACAAGGCAGGCTTCCAGACGCAGAGCATGGACCGACCAGTGCCCGTGTCAGCGACCAGGAAAGCCAGGGGAACAAGTTGATCGTAGTGTTGAAGTTTTGGTTAAGTTAACAACAAAGTCAGACAGTCTTGGTGGAAGATTTATTGTTGCAATGCTCAAACCGATAGCTTTGACAATATCGCAATTTCGGTAATGCATTCTGGTGCGTTCAGTTTCCAATCCCCTAAATGGAGCAACGCTGCGTATGTGCGAATATTGATACGTTTTGTCAGTTTAAAGCTTTTCTTCTTGTATGCTATACTTTTATTAACTATACTATCATTGTACTTATTCTACCTACGTTACCATTGTACTTATACCGAATCAAAGCAATAAGCCACTTGCTGGAATGATTCGTCAGTGAAATGAACTTGACTCTAAACTTGTTCCCCAATGAAAGACTGCCTTAATTTCCTCGAATGTTTCGAGTGTAATCACTCGAAACGCTCCAGTAGCGGCTCGCTCAACATTTTCCCAAACCATCGCCAGAAACGCATTGGGATCTGAATAGAGCCTGATACCGATTCTGTCACAGGCACTTGATAACAACTTTGATGACGAGAAAATGCAAAATAACAAGTTGGTAAAACGATGGAACAGACAGTGCACTGACCGACTGCACTGGTAGTAATAAAACGTTACGGTATCCGCATAAGCCACAACAAACGCGTACACTAATGTAGAGCTTTCCGAAACGGCCCGATAAGCCGCCAGTCAGCAGCAGCTCCTCCATCATTCCTCGGCTACCTGGATGGCAATTCGGAGCGCCGCTCACCTGCCGCTGTCCAGTGAGCTGTCCGGTGAGCTGTCCGGTGAGCGGGCGCTCCCTGTCGTGGTGCGTCGCCGCCGTCGAGTAAGGCGCGCCGAGCGCTGCCGGTCCGAGCTAGCCGCGCCGCCGCGCCGCGCGCCGCCCCCGGCTGGCCGGCGTCGACCCTCACCCCTCCCTCCCTCGCCTCCAGCGCCCCACTGGTCAGGGCAATATCGGCCGCTGGTCAGCGTGCTGGTGACCGGAGCGTGCTGGCGCTGTCTGGGGGGGGGGGGGCGGAGCTGTACTGGGTGCTGTCTGGGGGGGGGGGGCGGAGCTGTGCTGGGCGCTGTCTTCGGGGGGGGGGAGGTAGAGCTGTGCTGGGCACTGTCTGGGGACCGGAGCTGTGCGGGCATCGTCGAGGGGGGGGGGGGGGGCGGAGATGTGTTGGGCGCTGTCTGGAGGACCGGAGACGTGCTAGACACTGTTTGCAGACGAATGTTAGCATTGTGCGCTTTCAACGTTCGTTTTTCGCGTTTTCGCGCATCCATCGTTTCCTGCGACATGCATTGAAAGATGGGTCTGCCGAGATGTAGGGCTAAATAGCTTTGAAGTTGCGGCACGCTCTTCTTCTCATCTCGTATCATTCCGTTTCCTACGAATTTCATGTTGACACCGCGCTAATTCTGCGAAGTTTTGACTGCAACGCAGACCATGCGGGAGCGAACCCTGCTTCTGGTATCTGCACTTTGCACCTGTCATCAGCGATATGCTATGACGCAATTGTTATGCGCAATCAAAGGGCTTTGGTTGTCGGCTTTTGGAAACCCATTCAACAGCGGATTCCAGCACATGTAGGGGACATCGTCATACCCGCCATTACCATTCTACGCTTTAAAAAGACCACGTTTTTTCCTAAAAAAAACTTGGTTATCTCCGCGACTGCTAGATCAAAGTGGCAGCACCTCAAGAGTAGCACCATTCTGCGGGAAGTAGGCTCAGTGCAAAACAAGCGGTCAGAAATGCTTGGTGCTGTAACTGCGTATTTCTGCAGAAAAAGCTGACATCAAGTCAAAAACAAACGTGACTGCTCTAATTTGATGACTTCATAAGGAAGGGTGTAACTTTGTAGTGTTTGGACTCATTTAGAGCTGAAATCAATGCGTAAGGCTGCATACCATTTCAAGAAGGAAGCCATGTCATCCCTTTGAGTGATCACTAGATGCTAACATTGATTTGGTAGCTGCCATTATGATTCGGTTTATGGGACTCCGTGGCGCTACGGCCGAAAGCGAGACTCAGATGTGACAATGTTTGGGGTGTTCGGAATTTGCTGGGGTTGAAATTTGATCCAGCAGATCCTTCTGCCTGCCACATGCAAATAAAACTAAAGAGCTTTTGGGCAGGCTCAGTCGCTTTGAGGCTGCTGGTGACTTACGACAAATGCCTGGCGACAAAGACGAAGCCGAGGGGAAGCGGCGGAGGGGACAGTCGTTCTCCTTGATGACTTGGGGAGTCTTTAAATCACTGGAGGCTAAATCATGTCGGGCGCTGGAATAACTGGCGTCCCTGAATCACTTGGGCGCTGGAATCACTGGCACCCCTGAATCACTAAGGGTGTTTGAACCACTGGAAGCCGAATCGCTTCGAGCAGTGCCCCTGAATCACTTGGGGCGCTGGAATCACTGGCGCCCTAAAGCACTTCGGGTGCTTGAATCACTGGCGCCCGTGAATCCCTTGGGACGCTTGAATCCCTGGAGGCCTGAGGCATTTTGGGCGCTGGAATCACTGGAGCGCTGAATCACCTCTGGTGCTTGAATCACTGGCGCCCGTGAATCCCTTGGGACGCTTGAATCCTGGAGGCTGAAGCATTTTGGGCGCTGGAATCACTGGACCCCTGAATCACTTCGGGCGCTTGAATCACTGGAGGATGAATAACTTTGGGCGCCCAGTTGGGGCCGCCGGGCCCAACTGGGGGGCTCAATTCATATGATGACTTCCTGTTGGTCAAGGTATCATACTGGACTGGGACATTCCGAAACAGGCGAATAATGTTAAGGGGTCAGGGCTTTTCCGGCTTCCACATATCTGTCTGCACATAAACGAATTCACTGGGAACTGGGCTTCAAATGGAGGGCTGCTATTCTGCCCACCGTTTATCACCCGCAGTGTTTGTTACCCACTTTGAACACGTTAATATTGCAGATGCGCTGATGCATCACAGAACGCCCTAGCAGTGTGCCAACAAAGGTGCTTTCGGAGCGACCGGGACGACAAAGAATATATGCTGTCGACGCCATCATGACCTTATCTCCCATGGATTTTGCGCGCTTTGGTGTCCGCAGCGAACCGGACGACAAAGATTCCACGTGACGTCACGAAGAACAGAACATTCTTAATGCGCCGCGAGTGCACCCAATGTATACATTACCTAGCGCGATCTATGATCACAAGACAAAACGGCCGCTTTAGCTTTGCCGAACCAACGGCCTTCGCCAGACCTCATGGGAACCTTACGTCATCGCTTCCGGTGGCGACTCATCGGTGCGATCCCTATGGTGAATCTCGCGCCGACGGAAGGCCCCAGCATCGCAATCAGAGGCGAGGACGGAGCGCCGCCTGGTGGTGTGTATTTCACGGAACGTTACGTGAGTATGAGGTCACTCGGCCAGCTGCAAACAAACCATGCAGCCGTCTGGATAGTGAAGGTGAGTCCTCTGGGGATTCCATGTTTAGGGCGTACTGTTATGGACGCGGCAATGCTATCGTTTTCCGCTAAGGCATATGTTCTTTCATCGAAATTACGCGTAACGGCGCGAATGATTGCGAATAAAGGAGTGCAGGCGGGAAGAACGCATTCATTTCCTTCGATGCTGACATGTCTTTTTGCCTACCGACTGGAAATTCTCGCCACACCACTCGATTACCAAGCGCTGATGTCATTCATAGGCTCGAATACGCGCTAGGGAATCACTTCTGGAGGCAAATATAGTGAGCCACCCCACGTGTTTCTGGCCTCCGGCGAAACGCACCAAGCCCGGGGATTTCGGTTTTATTTGTAACATGTGATTTCATAAATACACTTCCACTCGGACTCTCAGTGACAATACAGAACCGGGTTTGGCAAACAAAATATGAGCCTGCGTCGGGAGCTGGGCTAGCAAACAAAAGAGACACGGGGCCGGGAGAGCGGGCCCGACGGGAGGAACCGGTGACGGGATGCCAGGCCCATCGAACGAGCGCTCGGGCGGCCGCGAGACCGACCGGCGAGCGGGTACGAGGTCGTGACGTCTGAGGAGCGAGGGGTAGAGCAGGCAGAGACACTGCGGGGGCGAGTGTGGGAGCCTGCTGGAGGTGTGGTGGGACCGCGGGGGCTGAGATGAAGCGGGGAGGAGACATGACGCCATGCGAAGCAGCCTAATTTCCGCGGGCGACAGCGTGCAGCGACTCGACGCCGGCGGCTGCCTGGCACCTCACGTGTGCGGTGACGGACAGAACACAGTCACCGGCGACCTACAGTCGCCCTGCTATGGCGCACACGCCGACCAATGTTCGCTGCCCGGGCGTACTCATGACCGGCCGGGCCTCGCCCCGGTCAGGCGGGGGTGGTCGGCCCTGCCGGTGGCAGCGGCCGTGCTGGCGGTGTCACGTGACAGTCAACCGGCGGCAGTCAGCGCCCCGAGGTCGGCCGCCCGGCCTGAGGTCACCGCCACCTTCCCGGAGGTGTTGCCGCCGGACGAAGTGGGAGGTGGCGCCGACAAACGTACCACTGATCGGGTAGCACGCACTGCGGACAGATGGCGCGGCGTTAATGGAGTGTGGCGGCCGGGGAACCGACGAGAAAGATGCTGTTCGGTAGTCTCATTGATTGTGCAATTTAGCCTAAACGATCAGCATTGGTAGTCTATTGTAAAATTGAGCCTTTAGCGAGCCAAATGCGTAAATACAGGCCCTGCGTCACGTGCCTTCCTTTGTGCCCGAAGTATGACCTTCAATGACGACTTGTGATCGTGTGTTTACGCTGATTTGTTTCGGAGTCTTCCCCTCCAGACAAGCTGTAGGTCCGTTGGGAGGGTTCGGTCCCAGCGGACCCCACACCGTACACTGATGCCTGCATGTAATCGCTGAAAGGCACGCCGTCGCCGCTTCCGTGACCTCTTGACAGCAGGCTTGCTCAGCCGGTGGGTGATAGTGGTGTCGGCATGGGCGCCTAGGGCCATCTGGGCCTTGTTTTGCCAGTGGACATACCTATATATACTAAATAAACAGTCATGTGCATAATCTGATACCTCTGCACGCTTGTAAGCGCGCTACCAGCCCCCATCATTGACACTGACTACTTAAACTATCGCGCACTTCATATGCTCACTATAACCTACTTCTCATAAATACTGGAAACCACTACCACCCACTCTTCTAATCTGGTTTCGGTCACTACTTGTATAGTATGCTCTCGTTTTCTCAACCTTCCTTCACATTTCAGGGCAAGGGTTGCCGTAACTGGGCATTGCGTGATCATGTGGGCGTCAACGCACGGTTCTTAGAGCTGCGGTGGCTGGGAGCAGCAACTCTCCTGGGCGCCTGCAGTGATCATGGCGGTTAGGCGGCAGGAAAATGAATCAAACTGACATCTGGAATTTTCAAGGATCAGATTGCGTTTGCCATGGTCAGTACCCACATGCATTAGATGTGACAATACTTTGGGAAGGAGGAATGAAAGACAAACTTGAACCCACATCACACGTTGGCGAAGTGTGCCGGATCGACGGGAACAGCGGGGCGCGAGTCGCAGCAATGGCGTCAGCAATGAGCAGTGAGTCGTGAACAAACATCACGCTTGCTCGCGGCAGTATGGCCCTCGTTTTGGATTCCCCTGCCTGATCACAACCACCGCTCGCGTCTGCTGTTACCAGGAATGGGCGGCATTGGGGTGCAATACCGGGTCGCAGTTACTTTTGAAAGCTCAAACATGCATTTATCATTCATGCATTCTATCAAGATGACATTGCGTAACAAGTGGAAGTTATAAGGCCTTTAAAATGCAGTTTGAATTGTATTTTACATTTACTACA